TACAAACTTACCATGCCATCAAAGGATCTCAATAGACACGAAAACTCCATCGCAGTCTGGTAAGGAACTGGTTGAATCACACTGAGAGTCTCATTTTCAATGTATATAGGACCGTACTTTCTCCATGACCTTCCGGAATCTGCCGTCACCTGTCCTACGCAAATTATATAATAGGTCAATTGGTCTTCTTTCTTTAATGTTTCCTATTTTCTTTAATTTTTCTTGAAAAGGTCAATTATTCTTTCAAGTAGCATTGTTTCTAACTACTCAGTCTTTTTAAACATGATTACAACCTCCATCCATGCTCCCCAAGAGTTCCAACTTTCTACAGAGGATCCACAGAGCAACAGCCCATTTTCCATCAAGATTGGCTGCGGAAAAAAAAAAAAGAGCAAGCAATGGCATAGTATTGGTTATTGAGTTTTATGCCTCCTGCAGACAAAGAATGCATGAAGTTACAAATCACAGCTATACCTTATTCTTTGATGGTCCTAATATACCGGGGGGAAGTTGTTCTCTATTGGACCAAGTAAGACCTTTATCATATGATCGCTTCATGCAGCCACTCCATCTTAATTTTGTTAAAACATCAGAAATAATAATAATAATTAGTTTAGCTTTATATATTGATCACAATATATATGTAATTCTCTCATTTAGTCTTATCCTGCATGTAGTCAGTTTCCCATATGGTTAATTTCCTAAACTGTTGTTTTTATTTTCTTGTCATAGCCTCTTTATAAATATCTTGGAGCTATTCATCATGTTTGAGAGCCATATTATATGAGCTATTTTACCATAGACCTTAAAAGGTTTGAGAGGTAAGAGTATTATATGTGCAATTAACTGCTCTCTTGTGGTAACTCGTGCCAAGTATATCACATCATATATAATTGCAGTGCTATCTGATTTCCAGAAATCATTCATATTTTAAGAAAAGTAATTCTGGGTCTGGGATAGGTGACACTTCTGAAGTAAAGAATGGAAAAACAAATTCAGAAACCAATTTATGCAAAATGAAGAGATTTTTGAAAATTATGAAGGATAAGGAAGCGTTTAAAAAAAATACTTTTGGACTTCCTGGCCAACTTTATAGAACAGCAGCAACTCATCTGATAGAAGTTTGAATAAAACAGGGTTCCACATCGGAACATTATGTTGTTCATCAGCAATCACAGGTGAATGCCAGCAGCCATCCTGCCCATGGAAATTCCCCCTTGTGTAAAATAGAAGTGCCACATTGCACCAAACAATAAACACATATGTACTGTATCTTTCATGCGTCTTATCTTCACCATCCATTCCTACATTTTGTTCAACCTTCTCCTAAACACATGACTTTCCTAAGTTTCGTTCAAGCCCAGACATGCACACAAATGGAACCAATGCATTAACATAAGGAAAAGAGGTGCACCCTTCAGTACATTGTTTAATATTTATATTTTTACTCAGAAAACAGGGAGCAGAAGAAGAGATGCTATATTCTTGAGGAAGTCAGCAGGGATTACCTTGTAGGTCTGCAACCATATTCTTACATCAGGCGCACCCTCTGCTGTACCTCCGAAATAGGCAACCAGAAAATGATCCTCATCAACCTAGATTAACAATGCAGTCAACTTCTGATAAGAAGGAACTACAAAACTTAAGATGAATGGTAATCAAGTTGAACCTCAACAATTGTAGATGCGTGGCAGCTATTAAATGGAGCAGAATTTGCAGGAAATGTGAACTCCTCTACTAGCAACGAAAGAGATGAATGATCCTTCTCCATGTCTGGACTCCCATTAAATGAAGTTCTAGGATATGCACGCAGTCTTGCTACTTCTCTACACAATCACCAAACATTTTGGTTATCTAACCTCATATTTAATATATATTGAAATATACATCGGAAGAAATGAGTATAGATTTTGTGAGGGGTGGAATTTCATATCTTCTATCTAAAAAATGAAAAATGCAGTCCTTTTACCAATACTAGCAGAAAGATTCCAAATTCAGCAATGCATCATCATAATGGACAAATAAAACTATTGGGAAAAAAACTATGTGCACTACTCAAGATCTTAGCCAAGTTTTACCATTCACCAAAAGATAACAGATTTCACAAAATAAAAGAGCAAACAAGCCATTCAATAGATCAACTGAAAGCACAGAACAGATCAACTTTTTAGAAGACAGTGAAATGATAAATCAAGCAGTGATTATGCAAGCTTATCGGGTTTGAAGAACCGAAGGGTCAGATTTTTAGTTGCTTAATAGAAATCTATGAAATGGGTAATGCAAATCAAAGGAATCGCGTACTGAGAGCAGCCAAAGCAGCAAGAAAGGGACAATAAAAGAGCCATCGAAATAATTCCCGCAGATTTCCCCATCTTCAATATAGATAGTTTCATGAGAATCGAAGCAGTTTTTGCATATAACTTGCATTTAAACACAAATAATTGCAGAGAGATAGGAAGAGACAAAATCTTTTGTCTTCTCTGGAAATAGCAGAAATAAAAGCGTAACCGATGCATTAACTACAAAAAGAGAAAGAAATTCATGACTTCAAGCAAATACCTGACATGGTATCCATGGCTTGAAGGGAAGGAAACTTTTAGGCAGAAGAATATAAAGAAAACAACTTGACTTGTGTCATTAGCAGCAAGAGACAGAGCTGATTTGATCTGTTTCGTTGTTGCGTTATAGAAACATTTATTTTCATTTCTCCCTTTTTCTAGGCCATGTTTGTAAAAACTCCAACTTTAATAAAACTGTGCTGAAAATTTGTTAAATATTATTTTAATTAATCTTTTTAATTGAGCAAAATAAAAATGGGCCGTTATATTAATCTAAACCCTAGTTTAGAGCTTAGCCATGAGAGCCCAACTTTGTTTTCTGGTTTTCGTTTCTCCGACCCTCATTTTGGGGAGGCTGGAGGGTTGTTTTTTTAATCTTCCCTTTTCCTGATGCCCGAAGTTCTTCAGTCTTCCGTTCATGGCTTCCAGTAGTTACCCCAGAGACTTCACCACAGCCACCTTAGCATTAGCGCTTGCTGCAGTCTCCGCATCCGCTGCTATCTCTTGTAATCTCCCTCTCTCTATTTTCTCTACACTGATGTGCGTATATATATACATATATATAGTATATGTTGTTATGCATGTATATTAATATTTTAGTTTCTGAGTTTTTTCAGTTAATATGCTATGTTCAATTGCAGTTTATATATGGAGAAGAAAAAGGGAAGATATGGAGGCCAAGACTTCAGAGCTTGAGAAATCTCTCAATTCCGCTTTGGAAAAATGTGCTGCTGAGAGGCAAGGTCGCGTCAGGGCTCAACAGGTATCTCTCTTTCTTAGTATTTAATCTGCAAAAGAAACCAACCTATATAATCACTATTTGGCTGCTTTTTTAATGTGTTGGTTTCTTTCAGTATACCTGCATTTTGTTAGCTTCTACGTAAGGACTCAAAAACTTTTGCAGAAACTGGAAACATAAAATTTTTGGTTTTTCGCAACTTACAATGTTTATTGTTTGAAGATGACCATACTGGGTCTGCTTATTATTGGTATTCGAATCTCAATAACTCAATTATGTTTGATTATGCAATCTGAGCATATTCCTTGTTGTTTCCTTGTTGTGTTTGCTTATTTATAGGCTTTGAGGAAAGCATTAGCAGAACCCATGTCCCATAGTTCAGAGAGTAGTTGTTATCCGATGAGACCTATTGGTTTAGTTCAGTCTTGCTTCTCTACCAGGTAATTTTAAAATGCTCTATATCTGTTTCTTCTCGTAAAGATTCTATTACCTATTGACCAGTGAAGATGATTAAATATGGATCAATGTATCAGTTATCTGAGTCATCTGGGTTTATGTACCAGACATGAAAAAATTCTCTATAATTACACAGGTTTAGAAAAAAGAAAAGGACTGCTAAAAATAAAAGCTTATATGAATAGAATGCCCCTGCAATTTGGTTGTACATGCATGCAAAAGTCAGTTTAATTGGAGCAGTTTAACCTGCAGTATGTTAATGGATAGATTTCCTCTTTAGTAAAAGGCTTTTAAGAACATCTTTTGCTTCTCTGTAGCCGTGTACATTTGGGTGCATATCTTTTGCTTGCTTGTGCAGGAATGGAACACCAAGGCAACCATTGCTCGTTCCTCTTGCTCGAGCGTGTTTGATCTTTAATCCAGCCATGGTTCCTCCAGCATCCCTCGAGGGTCTTGGGGAATATTCTCATTGTTGGATCATATATGTCTTTCATTTAAATACAGATCTAGATAAGTTATGGAAGCAACCATCTAAATCGAAATTCAAGGCAAAGGTATGTCATGCTGCTATTTCGGCTCGATGCTTATTTTGGTTTCTACTAATAACAATGATTCAATGGTGAATTTCTACAAAGGTTGGCTTCATGGCTAGGTGAGAGTCCCAAGATTAAAAGGTGGAAAGATGGGAGTCTTTGCAACTCGATCCCCACATAGGCCATGTCCAATCGGGCTTACTGTGCAAAGGTACACTTGAATTTAGCTCCCATAATGTTGTGTCTTTACAAATTTCCCAGCATAAACTTGCCAGTAGTCTTGACCAGACACTCGAGTTTAGAAAAATAAATTTCCTTTTTCATGAATATGAGATATTAACTTTTAAGACATTAACTGGGCCCCCTTTTCCTGTGAAAAAGGGGGCTCTTGGGCCGGGGTGATGGGGGGGAGTGGGTTTTCTTATGTTATTCTATTTCTATGGTTTCAATGTTTCTGTCCTTAGTGATTGATAATGAGAGTTCAGAGAAAAGTCATCGATGGAAATGATTTCTTGCATATTCTCTTTTAAATGCGGTTGTGTTTCTAGCCTTCTGGTTTATTAGCTGACAATCTGTTTACTACTGTACTTAACCTAAGTTAAAGTAGTGATGAAATGTTTTCGGAAATATATTCAATTTCTTATGATATAAAAATTTCTTCCACTTGTCTCTGTGTGTGTGTGTGTGTGTTCACACATATATGCATGTATTTGCATTATGGTACATGGAATAAAGTCTAGAACAAAGTATATGTCTTATTTGATCGAGCGCCATTTGTTAATTAAAAAAAATATATCTGTATAGAAAGAGGTGGACAATTAGATTTTATGAACATTTATATGGACTGTAGGTGTGAAGGAATAAATTTAATATATATTATAATTTGTATGTATTACTAATATTAGAATACCATTAGGAGTATACAACCTAAGTCTTGTTAGACTAGAAATCTACACGCTCATGCAGACTAGCACTCTGCTTTGCAATATTGTATTAGCATTATGCCTGACAAATAAAATAACCTTCAATAATTTTCATAAGGTGGAGGCAATCCAAGGACATATGGTTCTACTCTCTGGTGTGGATCTGGTTGATGGGACGGTAAGTTAGATGTTTGAAGACTTGTCGCTTCTTTCTTATTTGATCAATGGTGTTATTATTAAGTTATATCTTTTCCTTGAATTTGGATTTCTTAACAGCCAATACTTGATGTCAAGCCGTATCTGCCTTATTGTGATAGCATCCAAGAGGCAACAGTGCCAAACTGGGTAACGGTATGGCATATATCATTCTTCAGTTTCCAAGATAACTTTGAGCAGTGCAATTTCTGTTTTTAGCATTCTTTGTGAGTAGCTTATTAGCTTCACTATCCTTGTCAACTTGCAGAGCTAACATCTAAAATTGCAAGTTTTTGTGGATGTTGCCCTTCATACTTTTATTATGTAATTATTTCTGCCATAAATGTGTATGTTATCTTGGATATGAGGTTTATATTGAAAAATTGCTTCTTTTTTGTTTCAGGTTCTAACCATGGTTGGTTTATCTCTGCAGTTGATTTAATTTCTTCATAGCCTGCATAAATTAGTAACTCTATAATAATCTGTCAGGGTTCTTAGACATCAACCTCATTTTTGGGACTAGGTCTTTAGGAAGATTAGAAATTTGGGTTTGGCTTAGAGGGAGAAGAAGAAGAATAAGAAAAACAGAAGGTTTGAGAGAGAAATTGGGATTGCTGATTTCAGTAATTTTGTGGTTGTGTGAACTATTGATACCTAATCCTCTCAGACTCTTCATTTCTACTCTGATTTCTGTAATTTCAGCAACAACCCAAAGATATGCTCAACAAAAATAATGAAACTAACAGAATCACATAAAATAAGGAGGTAATAAAACAGGAAATAGAAGTAAAAGAAAATATAGTTGTTCGAATTTACATCCTTGACATCAGAGTTACCAAATTCCTCGTGTGCCGCTGCATGTCTTCTTTTTTTCTGCTCTTCTGCTAGTTCTCTTATGGCTTCTCTTCTGCTTCATTTTTTGTTTACCACTCTCTTCTGCAGTCCACATCCTCATCTCTTGAATTTTGACAGTTGTTGAATGTATTACCCTGTCCAATCCATAGTTTTTCTCGTAGCATCTCATCAATGTAAGGTGTTGATTGCTTTCTTTTTGGCGTTAGCAAAAATTTCAAAATGAATACTGAGTAACACTTAATGCACTTAGATAATGAAAAATTGCTCGTAGGAACTAATAGGGGATACACTTTCCCCAACCTCTCACTATTTCTTTTTCCAAATTTTCTTGGAGTTCCATTACTTGTGAATATCTGTGAAAATCTAAAGAAAAGAAGCTCCCAAGAAAAGATATGATGGAGTGAAACTTTCTTTTTATTGGATTAAAAAAAGGTCAGAAATAAAAGATTAAGGAAACTTGCCCTTGAGAAGGCTTGATTGATTTGGAGTGTCAAGATAGTAAAGTCCATCCCATTCTAGCATGTCCAATCATTGTCCTTGAATCCTTATCCTGAAATACATAATGATCATGGTGAAAACAAAATTGAAAATTAAGTCTCGAGTGAGTTTTTGAGCGAAGATAAGATTTGTGGTCCTGCTAAGTGATCAAGGAGCCATCAACTAAACCAATTTTCTTTTTGCTTAGGCATGGGGAGTTAAGTGGAGAAGTTATTGGATGAGTAGGTCATGTGGTAAATGGTTCCTGAGTCCATAACCCACGAGTTGGCCATGGTTGTACCTAAGACGTTTAAGCTAATAGGAAATGAAAATTACCTAAATATGCCGATGAGCATGTATTTAAAGGCTTCTCAAGACTACTGATGAGGAATGATAGGAGATCTCATCCTCTCAATTTTCTTCATCGCTCAGTCCTCCTGTTGTCTGTGGTTTTGGGGCATCTGGTTGTGTCATAATATCATGGGCCTACCTGTTGTTTCCTTGTTGTTCTCTCTTCTGTCCTCACTCTTGACTTGGGGGTTCTCCATGTAGTTTCTTACATCATTCCCTAGTGTAACGTGCTTTCTTGCAGTAGTTGCATCACAGGCTGTCACGATAGTGCATTTTTGCTTGACCAGGTTTCTCATTATCTAAGGTTGGTGTTTTATCAGTGCTATAAGTATCATGGAGCTCAAGCATCAGGCATCTTCTACTTTCTTTGATGTGAGTCAGTTGCTATCACAACTAAACCTGGTCAAGTTCAGGATTGAGTCCATAAAGGAAGTCATAGACGCTGTCTTGTTTAATGAATTCCTTGAGGGCAACGTCATCTTCAGGACATTTGGTTTTTAATGCTCTATAGTAGTTAATTTCTTGGCATAAAACTTTCAATATATTGGCATATTCTATAATGGTTCTATTAGCTTGTTTTGCAGACATTATCATCCTTTTAATACTTGGTCAGTGCCTCTAGTCTTTAAATAGGTTTGATGAAGTGAGTCCCAAATATCCTTAATAGTAGTCAGCAACATGCATGTGTCACACATCTCAAGTATCATGGAGCTTCATAACCATATGCCATTTTCATTGAGTCTTCTTCTTCCTATACTTCAAACAAGGGATCTCCTGGTTCTAGTCCTGTACCTATGAGGTGATTGATTTCCTTTTTTTTCAGTATAGTACGAATAAGTTTGGACCACTAAGGTAGTTCTTTTCATCCAGCCTATATGTTGCTTGAATGGCTTTCTGGATTGTTGAGGTCAAACAGTCTCCTCTCCTTGAGCAGGGTTACTGGTTACTATAACTTCTGACATTCTCTAGGCTACTTTGTGCAGTAGTAAAAATTACCAGTGATGAAGGCTGATCGAGAAAAGGGACTATGTAGCTTGAACAGCCCAAAATCGTTGGAGCAAGGCAGCTGAATAGTGTGACCAGAGGCTGACGAATTGAGAGACGAGCTGTGGTGGTCGCATGTCTGAAGCGGGTGGGAGGCGCGCAGCTGTGCGGCTGGAAGGATTTGATCGCTCGGCTTGCTACATCTGCCCAGAGGCGACCACTGGCTGCTGCAGCTAGGCATACGGCTCGGGCAGTTGGCTGTCAGGAGCCTTGGACATGTACACCAGTAACGAGATGTTTTTAGGGAATTAGAGTTAGAGAGATACAGGATTGAGATAATTAAGAGAGAGGAGAGGGAGAAGGGAAAGAGCATAAGAGAGGACAGAAAAGAATCCGAGAAGAAGTTGCTGAATAGAGAGAAATTTAGTTCTTGATGAAGTTCATCATACCTGAGAATCAGAGTCAGGTTATATTTGTTGATATATTCCTCTACCCTGAACTCTTGAAGAAAACTCTAGCAAAAACGTAATGGAAATAGCTATAACAGAAAAAGGAATTCAGTAACTAAAATCTGATGCTGTAAGACAATTTTTTTTATTCTTCCTTCAAACCTGGACCACAAGCCACGCTAGATTACCTGAGCACAACATTTGTAAGGGGTTGAATAGCCTGTTCCCCTGCTCTTCCTTCTTTTCCTGGACCTTGGTCGTGACATTGGCATCTGGCTGGAGTGAGGCTAGCATGCGGCAATGAGGGCTGGTACTTGGGAGGCTGCTGGCTATTAAGGCTGGTTCTTGGGTTTTGGGGTTTGTTTTGATTCCACAATAAAGGCCAGTTTAAGTCTAGTGAAGAAAAGTTGTGTTTTCTTTTCCCAATAGCTTTGAGACCATGTAGAGACAATTGTTTTTCTTATTAAATAGTTAAAGGAGATTGTACACATAATTCTAGCATTATCATAGCTTCGTAAAAGGAAACTTAATTATTTTGGAATCCCATGATTTATGGGATATTGGACTGAAATAAGATCCTAATTAAATAGGCCTGATTCTGTATATTACATAAAGGAAAAATATGTACACTTCTCCCCACAGTATGTATTTTCCTCTGTCCCACCTCATGCATGTTGATGGACATTTGAAAATGTTGTTGTTGTCATGCATTTAACTTAGGACCAAGACAATTCCCATTTACATTTATTATAAAAATGCATTTTGTTTTTCCAGGTGGACCATATGTTAGCAGTAGCTTCTGTCACTTTTGCTGAGGGCTTCTTCGTTTCACTTGCTGATTGTTGGGAAATTGCAGTAAGTCATTCAATCTCTACCTAAATATTGAGTCTTATCTTACTTATTTTTTTTTATATGGATTTCTCTTTGTGATCACTATATTTTTGGATTCTGCTTTTTATTATTATCACTTTTCTTTCTCTGGATTGCTTATTATCCCTCTTGCATTTTTTTAGTTATGTTTGAAACAAAATTAGGCAAGTAATAATAGGAAGATCAATGAAGAAGGTGAAGGAAAATGAAATTTAAATAGACTGCATGCAGGACATTAGAACTTGGATTTTGAGCAATGCACTAGGAGTTTTTTCTGCGTAAAAAACAAACCTGAATGCTGCATTATGACCTTAAACATTAAGAGATATAAGACCAAACTTCTCCACTCCTAGTCATCCCCAAATCTGGCAATCCTTGGTTTATTGTCATTGTTAACATTGATGGGATTTCAGCCTTAAAAAATTAAAATGCTTGGTTTTTTCAAAGATCCTGCTCTAAACTTCTGGAAGATTAATCATTTTGCCTTTAGATGAGATGCTCACTCTTCCCAACTACGTAAATATAGTTGTATGATTCTGCAAATCGTAAATTGCTCCATCCAATTTTGGATCTTCTTGCATATTCGCTAACGTGATGCAAGAGGAGAGAACTGCTCTTTGTATCGGCCCACAATGCTCTGGTAGAGTTTGTTAGTGTCTCTTTTTGAAGAATAGCTATCACTCTGTGATTGTTTTTTGGGTAGAGTTTCTCACTGTCTCTTTTTGAAGAATAACTATCCCTTGGTGGTTTTTTTTTTTTTTGGTTGATGGTTTTTGGGTGGTCTGTTGCTTAAAGGGTTGACTTCTTTCTTTTTCAACGAAGTTCACTTGGTTCTAGCTCTTGTCACGACAAGGACTACAATTATCATCTTATGGTTGTTGGAAACAAGTTTTCTGGATGATCGGAATGGCCGTTCACATCTTTTTTGTTGTTTGCCCCCATCCAAATCATGGCCAGCTGAATAAAATAAACTATTATCATCTTTAGTTATTTCCATTTTTTATGTCCAGTCAAAATGTCCTTTCCTATGGATTTTGAACAAACTTTATTTATCTGTTTGCTAAGGGCGGATACTACATTTTGACATTTGAACCCAAGCACAGGAGGCTTGTGCTGGGAATGATGACCACGTGACTTAAGTTGCCACTTCCCATGGTCAACTTTAATTGTCCTAGTGTTGTGCCTGCACTCCTTCAGCCACGAGAAGTGCCTGCAGTGTCTTTTCACTGTGGTTTTTGAGAAAAATGCTTTTATTGGATGATGTAAACCACCAAAATGGTCTGATTATCATGCAATATAAGAGTAATGGCTTAACAAAAAAAACACGTTGATTTTATCAAAGTGAAAACTTTGATCTCCAAGTGTTCCTTTAAATATCCACGTTATATTTTTCTTGACTGCCTTTGGTTTTGTGCAGGGAAAGAAATCCATGTACACATCACAGAATGAGTTTCAAAGCTTGATCAAACAAGTCCTGTCCTGGGATATTCGATCAGTATCGCAAAAAAATCGACCTCATAATACCATTATCAAGGCGGGAAATGCTAATGGTAACACATTGAGTAATCGCAGTTTAAATTTGGATGAGCACTTGGATGAAGAATCTCTAGACCCTGAACCCGGATTGTCTCTTCAATCTGAAGACGTAGTATATCACTTGATTCTGGAAGGCATGGATGTGTCTTACAGAATAGATTGCAACGGGGATGTCATTGTAGAGAAAGTCCAAAATTTATCCTGAAATTCCAAATGATAAAGGAAACCATTGTTGTTACCTTACATGGATCATTTGCAAGAAAGAGAGCAAATGTATCCATCCCATTGTTGGGATTGTTAATTTAGATACAGTTATTTACAATTACTTACAATTGCAATTGAATATGTAGGAATACACAGTATGATTGTGTTTTCTTTTTCAAACTTAGTTAATTTGTTTTGTCCTTTTGATCTGTTTTGTGAACGAATTTTTCAATTAAACTTAGCAATCAGTGGTTACCGTGCTTAAAAAATGATTTTGTAAGTACTGAGTAAGTATATGTTCCTTTTAGGTTATCTCTTGTAATAGTTTTATATCAAAGCAATTCAAGATATCCTTCAACCTTTGATTCACACAGCTCATCAAGCATAACTTTTGTATATATACATATACATATATATATATATATATTTTTATGCTTTGCTTTCTATAGACAATCACAAAAGATACATTTATAAAGTGCCAACAAAAAAAAAAAAAAGAAAAGAAAAGAAAATTACAATGACCAGCTTGGGTTCTTGTATAAAACAATAATTTTAAAATTTATTCTCCATTGTGACCTTTTGAACTTTAAACATTATTGACTTTTCAATCACTTATTTTTTATGCAAAAATTCCTATTTTATTATATTAAGATAAATAAATTTATATATATATTAATTATGATTATTAATGTAATATTTTACTTTTATAATTTTTGAATAGAAAATTATTGAAGTGATTATTTTAAAAATTAAAATTAAAATTAAAATTTATAATATTTTATTTTTTTTACATGGTCCTTTTTATTACCTTAAAATTTATGAAACTATCATGCCTGTTGGTTGAGGCAACGGTTGGGGTCATTATTAACAGTAACTACACGACAAGCAATCTTCTCGAAGTTGGAATAATAAAATAAGATTCCAACGGTCAACAACCGCGTGGGTCCCAACCATCGCCATGAGCAAGTGAAGTTGACGCGCTGCATGAATTCCCGCATTTACCCTCACTTTTCCGGAAAACTACCAGATTACCAATTATTAAACGCTTCTTATCCTCGATTTAAATTAGTGACATTTCCTGATTAATTAATTATATTAAGATGATAAAATGACGATCATGGGAATTTTGTTCGTGCACACAGATTGTAAATTCTCATAACCAAAGTTTAAAGAGGAATCACGTGGTTCAGAATCTATTAAAGTGGAAATTTCTGATTATTTTTATAATTATTTTAATAAATTAAATATTTCATAAGGTCTCACGGATGGTTGGTACACATAAATTAATGCCATTAAATATTGCGTGGTCTTGGCAGTTGAAAAATATGAATAAAAAGCTAAAAAGTATTTTTAAAAAAAAAAAAAATTATAATAATTAATTTTAAAAACCTGTCAATATAAAATCTTAAATATTTAATATTTATTCACATTTTTTTTTTCAAAAATTTTAAAGAATTTACCTTTACTTATTTCTAATACTCTACAGTGAATAACTTGATAAGAAAGCAAACCCCGGCATGCTTTTTAGAAAGCTAGAAATGAATTTTATACTTTTATGTAATAAAATTATATTATTTAAATAGTTTAAAACACAATCATACCTGAAACAAAATCTTAAGCAATCCTAAAATAATCTCCAAATAGATTAACTGAATATTTGGGTGTTTAAACGTGATTAGAGTGAATGTAATCATGAGTTACGTCTCTTAATTACCAGATGGCAGTATTGTAAATTAACCCAGCCCAGACGCGCCCACATTATTAATTCTCCAAAACAACCAAACCTCTGAACGGAAACGTCTACACCGGCGTCTTCCCCACCTGCCTGCACGGGCCCCGTCGCCAAAAGACATACTTACACAACCTCTTCTATATTATAATTACTCCATTTTAATCGAGATACAGTAATAAATATTTTTAACCCAATATTCATCGAACCTTTTCTCTTTCTTGGAATTTTGAGGGGAGAGAGAGAGAGAGAGGGAGGCATTGAATTTTCTCATTGGTTCTAGGTTTAATAATATTTTATTTTCTAGTGTTGTCGTAATCAAATAGGTTGGTCTTTTTCCCTTTTTTGACGAAAGGGTATATAACAGACAAAGAGGATGGATTCGCCATCATCGTTAGGGGATTCATCGACGGCGAGGATCGTCGCAAGATCGTCGATGATGGACTCGATCTCGATTCGGGCGTGCGGGCTGTCGGGGCTAGCGGGGATCAGGATCGACAAAGAGGAGTTGAAGAGGTCGTTGATGATGCCGGAGTACCTGCGCCTCGCTATCAGGGACTGCATCAAGAGGAAGGACGCCACCACCGTGGCTCACCAGTTCCTTATCCACAGCGAATCTGGCGTCCTTTTGGCTCCCGAGTGCCCTATGGTCGTTTTCATCAACCCGCGAAGCGGCGGTCGCCATGGCCCAGTTCTTATGGATAGGCTTAAGCAGTTGATGGGCGAGGAACAGGTCAATCTCTCATTCATTTATATTTACACGTCTTTATATTTGTTTATGTGTATAATTTCCTTGTGTTTGTTTCTTCCTATCAATGTCGTATAGAAATGGATGGTTTTAATCAGGAAGTGGGTGTACTAAAAGGACCAAGTGGTAAACGGAAAATGTGGTACTTTACCGGGTTTTGTTCGAGTTATACTTTCTCCTTCTCTTCTTTCCAGAAGTTCTTTTTAATATTCAAGTATTTTTTTTGCCCGTTTTGTTGCTTATAGAAGAGCGAAGTGATGGGTAAACAGAGGAACAATTTGTGTGTTTTGACCTTCCTTTGCTTCGTATGAAGAACTCAGTTGAAGTGAGGTTGCAGGAACGAATTATAATGATTGTTTGTGGCGCAGCTAAATACATGGATATCTAGTAAAGATTTCAAAAATTTAGGTTGCTTCATTTTCGTTTGCTCTGTGTTTCCCTTTGGGTAAGACAAAGCCCCTTCCTGAAACTTGGATAAAAAACTGGCGGCTGGCACTGGTAAAATTAAAAGGGGTGCATCCTAAGTTAAGTGCTTTTGTTTTTGGGAACAGATCAAATGTTTTTGTTGGCCATGCCCTGCTTCCTTACTTCTCTCCTAGATAATAGAAGCTTTTGGGAGCCATATTGTCTTCTTTGTAGCTCTTCATAGGGTGCTTATCATCCGCATGGTAGAGGTCTGCTGTCTGTATATTACAACACATAACATAAAATTGCAGCCATGTGCAATTCGTGGGTGGAAAATCATGAATGTAATGGAAAGTAAGTTTCCGGCTTAGCTGAGAGTGGGACATGCAACCTAGGTTTCCTGATGTGAATGCTGGGTGGCAATCTCCCATACAAGCTGTTGTCACTCCCATGAATGGCAAGTTTAGGCTGGTAACTATTTACTATTTTCTTGGGCATTTGTTCATGTGAAACACTTTTTCGCTTTCCTTGCAACTCTACCAGTTACAGAGCCATGTTCTAATATCATCTATAATTGATAATGCACTATTTTGACCTGACAGATGTGAATTCTCTAAATTAATTGCAGGTTTTTGACCTGACAGAAGTAAAGCCACATGAATTTGTCCAATATGGATTGGGTTGCTTAGAGACATTGGCACTCCGGGGGGATGAATGTGCAAAAGAGTCTCGTGAAAGGATGAGAATTGTGGTATGTTCCTTGTAGTTGTGGCATGCTAGCTAAAGATGGTTTCGTAAAACATAGTTGCATTCACTTAAGCACTTTATCTCTGTGAAGATGCCATGTCCTATATGTGAGCCAGTAGCATTTTCTTTAATGATTTTAAAGTTGAAGCTTGAAATTGTCAGATTTGGGACGATTTGGCAGGTTGCAGGAGGGGATGGTACAGTTGGTTGGGTACTTGGAAGTCTTGGAGAACTTCACAAACTGAATCGGGAACCAATTCCTCCAGTTGCAATTATTCCACTTGGCACTGGCAATGACTTGTCTAGGAGTTTTGGCTGGGTAAGTTTTTTTTTTTTTTACTCTGACTTGAATTTTGAATTTGCTGACTGCTGGTTTGTTTTACTTTCTGGAGTTTTGGGTGCATGCTTTATTCAGGGTGGCACATTCCCTTTTGCATGGAAATCAGCTGTCAAGAGAACTCTCCACCGGGCTTCTGTTTGTCCAATTTCCCGTCTGGATAGGTAAGTTCTCTTGAATAATGTTCCATTTTCAAACACATCATTCTTTGTTAGTAGTAAGGATACTCTGTTTTGTGGTTGCTTTGTTTTTATAATAGTTTCCTTGAAATCCTATAGGCATTCTACCAGATATTGATAATGAATTCATTCAAACCATAGTGTGGGTTAATTTAAGTTCAACATGCTACATGCTTATGGAAACAACATAATATAATTATAGCTTGTTAATTCAATTAGCATTAAGCTAATTACTTGGTTGATTATGTAGCTGGCATCTTCTAGTGTCAATGCCATCTGGAGAGGTCGTCGATGCCCCTCATTCTCTGAGGTCTACAGAGGAATGTGCTCTTGATCAGGTATGGTCTTTCCTAATAAGATTTTACTGTTTCTTTTTGGGGATTCACTTGTACATGCAAAGTTGGTGAATGCATTTTTGGTTGTTGTTTGGAACTCTGTTTATTTAATGTGATCTTACTTCAATATAGGAGTCATATTTTTCCAGAAAATATTGTTTTGTTTTAATGTTAGAGCTTCCTTGTGAGCAGGGTTTGGAGATCGAGGGTGAGCTGCCTCCAAAAACGAATTGCTATGAAGGAGTTTTCTACAATTATTTTAGCATAGGTTTGTCAGTTTATACTTCCAGATTTTGATCATTGCATCTGTGGATTTTTTTTTTTTCTGCTTCCTTCCTGTTACAAGGGGAGCATGGCTCTGTGCTCAAATGCTTAATCCCTTGAAAATGGGTAATGGTATACATGGCTGGACCAAAGTCTAGGTCTAATATATATATATATATATATATATACATGGCTTATAATTTTGTTGGAAGTGGTTAGATAATGATCCTTTCTTGGACTCCTGGTTTCAACCCGTATTCAACTGAAGCTAATGCCTTTCATCTAATGGTTTAACAGGATGAGAACATTATATGTTAGATAAATTCCCAAGTTGATTGTGTTGATCCTTGTCTTTGACTTCTGTCAAATAAACTGGCTAGAACTTTGTAATGCTTTGATGAGTTTCTGTTTCTTTTTTTTTCATTTTACTTAGAAGCTTGCTATTTCTATTTTTGGTTCCATAGGAATGGATGCTCAAGTTGCTTATGGCTTCCACCATTTACGTAATGAGAAACCTTACCTTGCTCAGGGCCCTATTTCAAATAAGGTCTGCTTTAATACTTTTTCTTTTTTTACCATGAGTTTCCATTTTTTGTTTTATTTGGCTGAAAACTATGATCAAGTTGACTGATGCTCATTTCTGCTTAAGGGTTTGAACTTTATCGAAATCTCTAGCCTTTAGAACAGTGCAACCTAGTCAAGGATTCAATTTACCTCATTCAGCAATTCAGTTGTCTTAATGATGCTGATTCAAGATCATAAACTATTCCGTTCTGTTTGTAGCTTATCTACTCTGGTTACAGTTGCACACAGGGTTGGTTCCTCACGCCTTGCATAAGTGATCCAAGTTTAAGGTTAGATATCTTGCAATTTTGGTGGCTTTTTATTTAATTTTGGTGGATTTTGTTTATTTCTCATTTTGTTGCATGTATACTTGAAAACAACCATGCAAGAGCTTGTGGATGAGTAGAAGCTAAACGACCACAATTTTCTATCTTTTCTTTTTGAGATAAAAAGTGTATAGTATGTATTAACAAGGTACTAAGAGAGTACCACCAATTTAAAAAAAAAATTGCAATTGTGTTAAAGTATCAATGACATTTCCAAAATTCTCATTCTCACTAATGTCATGACCCAACAAAATGGAGTCAAAATAATGAAACCATCTACTTTAATCTTGTGTCTCAGGCTCATTACTCTGAAAAGCCCTACTATTCATTTCCTTCTATAATATCAAAAAAATAATTAATGGAATCAGCTTTACAAATTTTCTTTTACTACAAACCTCATCCCAAGCCCAAATTTCGTCTTTAAGATTACCCGCCATCACCCAATTAATTCCCATGAGGTCATAGATTATTGTCCATAATTCATATGCCATAAGGCATCAAAGAAGGATATGGTTACAAGATTCCGCTGCTTTCTTGCAAAAAGAATACCCATTAACCATGATTCATATGCCATAAGGCATCAAAGAAGGATATGGTTACAAGATTCCGCTGCTTTCTTGCAAAAAGAATACCCATTAACCATGATTTTGCCTCTTGTCATCAACTTGTTGATTGTCAAAATGCATTGCCGACTTGCTTCACAGGCAAAGAAAACAATTCTTGGAGGCGCCTTCACTTTCCAAACAGCCACAATTTTCTTCGGCACAAGATTGCCAAACTTAGTGATGCATGCATTTGTTGTTAGCTTGTTTTCATTTATTATCACAGCCTCTATCTTTTGGCGCAAGATTCCTAAATGGAGCATGGATGTGTTCACTATTAGCTGTTCCATTTATTATACTAAATTCACGTTCTTGATGCTTGCTCAACTTTGTCATAATAGCTGTGCTAGAGCTGATGATTCTTCTTAATCTGTTGATAGATGATAGTTATATAGTGATGATGTCCTCAAGGTGTTTGTCTTTTACAGCTAGGGATTTTTTAACGACTAGTATAGAAGTAAACATTATGATGCTTCAATTATCATTTTTTTTTTTGTGTTTTCTCCTAGTAATGCTTTTAGCAAAGTTGTTTTTCTCTTTTTGGTGTCAATGATGTTTTGATTGAAGTAGGTTTTCACACTTATTCAATTCTCTCTTGTTGCTGACATCTTCTGAGCATTTTTCTCATTGTAGAGGACTCAAGAACATCCTAAGGATGCACATCAAAAGGGTCAATTGCTCAGAATGGGAACAGATTCCGGTTCCTAAAAGGTAATATCAATTGTATAAGTTTTTGCTCAAGTGCATTGATCACTTGATGGTCTGTTTTCTATTCCTTGTACCAGATTTGGGGCCTTGAAAATTGTGGATTCCTTTCCCAAATTTTACTTCTTGCTTTTAGATAATCTGTCTGTTTTTTGAAATTGTGTTTTTTCTCTAAGACCTTAAAACTTAGGGACTTCCATATCAGGACTGCTATGTTACCTGTATTCTGGCTATATACTACGGGCTATACATTTAGGCTGGTAAAGTTATGTGAATTGATTTTCTGAATAGCTTAAAAAGGTTTTCTTATAAATATTTTTATCATGGCTATTTCCATTGTTTATTTTATACCTGCGAGGATCTCATTTCCTTATTGTATAGAGCAGTGTTCAATGTTGAACGTACTGTTGGCATCTACTTTGTAGCACTTGTTTTTGGCTTAATACCTATTAATATGCTTGTTTTAATTCCCAATCTTAATCATAGTGTGAGGGCTGTGGTTGCTCTAAATCTTCATAGCTATGGAAGTGGAAGAAATCCATGGGGGAACCTGAAGCCAGAGTATTTGGAAAAGGTAAATTACACATTGTTCTATTTGCCAATTAAAGTTGCTAAAGCCAGGAACTGTTTTGCTCTTGGTATTCCTCAACAATATATATGCACCTTCATTTCCATTTTTATTCTGTTAACATTACATTTGTCTTGACGGAACATTTTACTTAAATCTTAGAGAGGATTCGTTGAGGCGCATGCAGATGATGGCCTTCTAGAAATATTTGGGTTGAAGCAAGGATGGCATGCCTCATTCGTTATGGTTGAGCTTATTTCCGCAAAACATATTGCTCAGGTATGATTCTTGAACTTTTCAGTTATACCTTCTCCTTTACCCAAGAAAAAGAGAAGAACTAGCTCGTTCCGGTCTGTAGAACTTTTGAACATCCAGATTCTTTTACCTGTTATAATTCAGGCTGCAGCAATTCGATTAGAAATTAGGGGAGGGGAGTGGAAAGATGCATATATGCAGATGGATGGAGAACCATGGAAACAGCCGATGAACAAGGAGTATTCAACATTTGTTGAAATCAGGAGAGTTCCTTTCCAATCATTAATGGTGAACGGAGACTGAGTACATCTGACTGGTTCTTTCTCTGTTGGGATGAGCATAAAGCAACCTAGGGATTGTAAAATTATGTTGATGCTCCCAAGTTAAACGACTGGGGCCTCTGTTGTATCTCATTCATTATTAGTTAAAATTTCATCTTCTTTCTTCTAACCAGATTGGGAAGGAAACTAATAGCCAGTTCAGTAATTATTGACTGGATTACTGAGTTTTTTTTTTTTTTTTTTTTTTTTTTTTTTTTTTTAAAAACTAAAGAAATAAAAAAATATGGAAATAATTAAAAAATATAATATGATATAATGCTTTTTCAACTATTTTATGTATACACAAGATAGTCATTATAATACAAAAAAACATTAAAAAATCAACAATTATGCCTTAAGTTTGATGTTCAGTTACAAATCGCTCATTGAATGATGCTCAGGAGATTCATCGTGTAAATGATTGATAATATTATTAGTGTCAGTATTAGCAATAGAATCGACTACTCTAACTAATTCGATGGTACCATTTTCATTCTGAGGATGTTGGCTCTCATCTGAAGGTTGGGGCGTTTGATCAACCATGTCAAGACCCGGAGAAGAAGATACACACTTCTTCAAGGACCGTTGCCATATACGGACCTCCGAAACAATTATGGCTAAGAGTGTTGCTGTTGCTGTTATGATAAATAGGCCTCCAAAGTTGCTAGTACTAAGACCAGGACTTTTCGATGAGATGTTAATGTCTTTTTCCTTCCATGTTCCAAAATATTTCTTTTCCAGTTTAGTCATCTCCTTTCCTCCTATTGCCTTTATGATTTCTCTTGAAACGTATGCAACCAACGGAGCTCCTATCGGAAATGCCTGCATGCATACATTCAGGTATATGATATATATTTGGTGGATGTATAATTAAAAAATAAATAAAAAATCACTAGATAATAATATTAAGAGAAAAGAAAACTTACAAAGCCAAGTCCTTCTGTGCGGTAAATGGGTCCAGCCATCATATACCTAGAAGTACCGTATTTAGCAAGGAATACCTTAATGTAGGGAATTTCGTCAAAGATGACTGAAACACCTCCATTCTTGCTTCCTCTAGATAGAGCAATATCATATTCACTGATATTGTCATATGGCTTGATCTTGGACCTCTCAAACTTTAACTCATTTACTAAGAAATCTTCTACGAATGACCCACTCTGGTAGCCTAAATAATCGCCATTGTCTCTTAGGCTTTTCACGCTTGGGTACGATGGTCGTAACTGGTCAACCGTCAGTATTGAAGATAAATTTGCAGTGTAACTCTGCATCAATATAAAAGCTAAAAATAACCATATCACCAACACCACTCTTGAGCTATGCTTATTCACCATCTCCCCTGTTACCCACCAAATCACAATTGTTTCAATAGAAAATTATATATTTTAATATAGTATATACATGTATATATATATAGTGATTTAAGTAACTAGTGTGGCGGATGGATTAATGGAAAAAAATAAATGAGGTATGTGGAAGTGAAACTTTACTTTGAGGAGTGACGATGGCTTGGACTGGAAATAATAATATCATACCAAGCTGCTTCTTACGCGACCCAGTAAAGTCAACACTGCCAGAACGACGTTCTAAGACTTTTATGCTCAATCCCACACAGATGCAGGCTATGAGAATTGTCAACCATAGATCCAAGCTCAGAGGTTTTAAGAAAATCCACATGTCTCGCCCCCTGTTATGTTCAATTGGAACCAGCATTGTCACTCCCGTATCAGAATACGGCAGAGTGAAATCAGCGCACCTTGTTCGATTTCCCACGATTGTTATATCTCCCACCACGGCATCAAATCCCTCGTCCTTGTCCTTTAATTTTTCGAAAGTTTAAAAGAAGAAAGTACATTAAAGAATAGAAAAAGAATAAGCTAATAGATTTTTACCTTAGCCTTAATTTGGCAAACAACCGAATCGTAGCTCCCGCTACTTCCTCCTTTCTTGTTAATATAAAGTTTTAATTGATAATGGAAACTTGTAAGGTAAATTATCCCATATCAGACGGAAGACATCGATAGAAAATCCTGTGAAGTTGGCATTATTTGAAAGTGGGTCTTCTGTTACGTTCACAAATTCTGGGAAGCCTGCTTTGTATGGAACCCCGATTATAAGTGTCCGGCTACCGGCAGAGGGCACGGTCCAGCCCCTCGGCGTTCTTGTTGAGTCACAGGCCAAATTACACTCTTTAGGTGAGTAATAGAAGTACCTTGTCTTCGAGTTATTCCATGCTCAGACGACCAATACCCAATTGGTCTTGCTCCTTTACCAATTACATTGAATATTTCATACGCACAAGGCTGCAACTGCCCACCAACCAAGTTAAACTCGCCACTCAAGCCTCTGAATCTAGTCTTCAAGATTTCACCGACAAGTTTTGGACCAACTGTGGAGACACCCAAATTGGAAACATAATTAATTACAGTATGTTTATTGTTTGGTTTCAACAAGGTAGAGTTTATGAATCCAAGTCCTGCTCTTTCGATGGCATCTGCTAATGCCCAGATTGTGTCATATGCCCACAAACAAAAGATGTCTGGCTCGGTGGTGATCATGGTTGGATGTGTAGAAAGAATCTTCCTTTTCAATCTCAGCTTAAAATTATCGAGATTTCTTGATTTGGGTATGAAGGGTCTTATACCTAAAACACCTTCCATAGCATCAATGAAGATGGGAGCTAATACATCAACAGAATTGGACAAACTGTCTGTTACTATCCATGCAAACCCTTCACTCATCATTCCTGCTTTATCCGCAAGAGCAAACAAGCGAGACCCAATAGAGCTGGTCATATGCACTACGAAAACCCTAGTCCACATGCTCTTCAACTCGTTTAACTTTGTCAAGATTTCAGAATCTTGAGCTGATAAAGGTATTCCAGATTTTATAGATAGCTTTATGTCAGAGTCTAGCAATGCATCAGTAAGGAAAGGAATAATGCCATTGCCGAACTCAGTGTCTTCGTATACGAGAGCCACCTGGTGCCACCCAAATTTTTGGATGATGCTAACAATGGCATTAACTTGAAAGGAGTCGACTTGGGCAGCTCGGATGAAGTAAGGGCTTTTGTAAAGCGACAAACTAGGGCTGGTTGCGGAGAATGATACCACCGGAACATGAGAATTTGCGCCTATTTCAATCACAAATGCTGCCTCACTTGATCTTAGTGGCCCAAGTATGGCCACTACTCCATTGTTCAACAAATCAACAGCTGTAATTACGAGTACAAAATCACCAAGGTTATTGATTTATGTCCTATATAACGACAATTCTTTTCTGTATTTATATTAGTTGGTACAAAGAAATGCAAACAATAACGTTGACTTGTTTTGGATAATCACGTTGAACAATTCAAACATCTATTGATGAACTAAAACAATTTATTTATAGGGCCAGGATATATATATATATATATATATATAGGTATGTATCAGTTAAAAAAAAATGTATATACTAGATATATATGCAGTCAAAAGATGCTTGCTTCATTATCAAGATTGCGAATACATTTCTAGGCGGCTGGTGCAAGCTGGCTGGTCCATGAATCTGCAGATTTCTATCGTTTTCTTTCTTAAATATTGGCTTTTCCAAATAAATATACGTACCAATACCCCCGGATAACTAGTCAACGACGATGACCGACTACGCATATCTTATATATATATGACCATTAATATCATAATGTATGTTTATATATATAAATATATGAACACCGAGAACTGATTAATAGTTAGATTAAGTTAAACAAGAATTAATATCATCTTACATGAAACACATTCAAATTCTCCAAAATTTCAGTCTTTCGCCAAAGATATTTTCCCTTACTTTTTTATGCAAATACATATAAGTTCTTTCTTCTGTAAAATCTTCAGCCTGTATCTACTATGATCTCCTACTTTGATAAGCTATTAATTTTCTACCTATTTCTTCTACAATCTGTACCGGTGTATTTACACAAACGTCTGTGATTCTTAAACGTATTTGTACACATACAAATATGTATAATTCTGGACCTTTAATCTGCTATTGGATAAGCTTTCTATATACATATATATGTATATGTATATATCACATGCTTACGATATCAAAGAAGCTGGGGTAAGAGAAAAGTTACCTCCAGAAGCGGAATCGAGGATGCCGCTGTAGTTTCTGGTGAGCAGAGACAATCTAGTGGTGTAGTCAGAATTCAGAGAGTAAAAATCTGAGAGTGACATGGAAAGGCACGTACTCGCCATGGAACCTTCATGTGAGCTGAAATCTAGCAGCGCTCCTATGGGTATCTCTCTTATTCCACTTACACTACTAAAGTTGCAGAACCCAAAGAAGAAGAGGAAGAAGAAGAAGAAGAAGAAGAAGAAAACCAGGTTTCGGCAATCAGCTGGATACATCATCGATCACTAGATCATCTCGAGAAGTTTAATGATTTGTCACATTGGTGTTTGTTGATTTTATAGAGCGATTTCTGTTCGTGTCCGTACCCATGAAACATGCAAGAACTCCATTTTGAGGTGAAATCTCGGCCACGTCGAAAATCAAAATATATATAAGAAATATTTTTATATAGGTACTATCCAAAATATAGTGAAAGTATTGTCAAATGTGAAACCGCATATGAGTTTCGTTCAAAATAAATTAATAAATCACATGTAATGTAAGTCGTTAATACCTTTTTTTTTCTTGTTTTCTATTTCAACACTTGATTAGATGATCAGATTTTGTCTACTAGAATAAGAAAACGAATTGTGACTTCAATCCAATTAGTATCATAATGATCAGATGGAATCCAGTTCCACTCATTGAAAGTTACTTCATAAAGAGCAGAATTGGTCAAACCGATATATATATATATATATATATATATATATGTATAATTTTCAGTATTTTGCTGTCTCATTCTGTGGAGGTTAACTTGGCTGTACAAATACTAGAATATTATTATATGAAGTTCTTATTTTTGAGAATGAAAAAAATTAATGTTACCTAATTAAGTTTCCTGGTATTTTCGCTTGGCAGGATCTGAACATCGTTGACATTTATGAGTTTTTGTCGGATATTGAATGAGAAATCAAGATGTAGAAGAAGAAGATCCACATCTTTCATTTTCAAAAGAGATCCACATGATCAAGAAACTAATTATAAAATTAAAAAAAATAAAGCTTGTATTTATATAGGACAATGACTTATATAGGCTTAACTCAGCATTGCCCCAGGTGCCAGGGAAGATGAAGCTGTTCTCTAAATTCATTATTTTATATGTTAAAGAAAATTATTTGTAAATTTACAACATATTTTTTTTATCTTTTTACAGTTAATCAATTTTGTATTATTTTCTTAATTACATTAATATTACACTTGCTTAAGAAATCCGATGGTGAAAATGAATTAATTATACATTAACATAAAAAAGAATAAGTAACTTAAATTAATTAATGACATATGTTAATTATATTAAAGAAAACCTCCAAGCCTTAAAACCACCTGCTTCTTATTAACGTAAATATATGGGAGAGGAAACATAATTCTTAATACACAACGAGAAATCCCACTCCAAAGAATTCGTCTTTGTAATAATCGCAAACAATGGCGAGATTAGAAAGCATGGTAATGGGAGTTTTGGGTTTGGTATTAATACTGTCGCCTTTGGCGAAAACCCAATTAAACATAGACGCAGTAAGTCCTTCACCAGAGAGTTATGAAGATATTCAATTTGGAGAGACTCCAGCCGAAGCTCCTTGGGGTGAAGAAGATGATTACTATTATGATGATGGTAATGATGATCCATATAGCGATTTCGTAGATGATTGTTTCACGAGGTTCGATTTCAACTGTGAGAAACAAGTATTCGAGGATGCTCCTGCCCGCGGACATGTCAGTAAAGACTGCTGCTTGAAGCTCATCGAACTTGGTAAAGACTGCCATGATGCATTGACAGAGTCTTTTACAGTGACGGATGAAAATATAACTCGTGCCCAGTTTGAAGCTAAGAGCAAAGAGACTTGGGATAAATGTGTTCTCGATTATGGTTCTCAAACACATCTTCCATGATTTAATTATGTATTAATTATTCAAAATTAAAATTAATATACATTTAATTTACCCATTACTCATCACTACATACTTGTTTCATATATTTTTTAAAAATAAAAAATAAAAATGCCCAAATCTACGTTCAACATTCTGACTTTTAGAGCCTTTTAAATCGACTCAAAGGCCCAAATATTTTTTAAGATCGGCCCATTTCCTTTTTGCAAGAAGTAAGCCCTGACCTAAACCCACCATCAATCTGATTTCGCCTTCCACAGCCTTGGTTTTCCGGCTGCTTAGGTGGTCATCGCCGGGTTCTCTTGTTCGACCAGGTAACTTGTCATCCTGTTGGTTCAGGAGATTATGATGAGTACGTGCTTCCCTGGTATTTGTTCAGGGTTGATGTATAGAATAACATTGATATTTTCTACTTGGGTTATTATTTTTGTCTTGATTTCTTCATGCCGTGTGTATATTCATCTACTTCCTTTCGTTTACTGATATGAACATATGGCTATGTGCTTTTTCTTTCTTCTTATCTACCCGTTTGGCAGCTGTTATATGCTTGGATTGGAGTATAAGACAGGTTCTCCATGTTCTGGTCTACGTTTCTTCTGGTAATTATGGTTGAGTTGGTAATGCAAATAGTTTGATTTATAAAGTAAGTTGTCCTGGACTTAGGGAGCTGAGTGAGTGCTTGTTCTGTCTAGTGTGGGTAAAGGTGGGTCTGCGCGCTATGTCTAGCGGCTGCTGGTGTAGGTGAGGTTGGGTTTCTGGGTGCTTGTTTGAGGGTGTGGATTCTGGGAATGGGGTGCCCTCGTTGGGGCTGGATATCTGTCTGGGGTGGTTCTGCTGCGAGCGTGGTGAGAACTGAAGTTTGTGTTGAGGAGGGTGGTTAAACTTTAATGGATGCCGGTTTTGTGTGTCTAGTGGGAGCCGGGTGTTAGTATCAAGTTCTCAAAATCGATTGAAGAGTTTGTGGTTATTGCTTCCTTTTAGTCTATTAAGGCATGCGATCATCGTCCATTGACAGTATTGCATCGATGGAGCTCATGCTCCTAAGTAAGCATTCAGATCGAAAGCAGCTGCAGAAGCTAGAACAATCATCCCTCTTGTTTGGTTCTATCTCCATCCCCATTAGACTGTTTAGGTTGCTGTTATACTCCTGCTTTCTTGGTTGATCATGCTGTCTATTCTCTGAAGGGAGGAAGAAGGAGCGTCCATCTGTTTTTACCCTGTGAAAAGCTTACTGCAGAATCTTTTTTTTTCCTCCGTTAGCTCCCTGTCATGGCCGCTCCTTGTGTTAGGCTCCTTGTGAAAATCTAGCTGATACTTCTCTGTTTACAGCTGCTGTTTATTGTCTACCATGTGGCTAGAACCTTATTCTCCGGTGTCTACTGTGCTGAAACTTGTCAGTTACTACTTTTTGGCAGAGGGGCTGCTTTTGTGTTTTATGCTCCTTAACTTGTACATTTCTGCTCTATCTGTGGCTCCTGTTCTGCTTCTCTGCTCTGTTAGAATTCAGCCCGATTATTTCTTGCCTTTATTTCTCATGCTAGTGGTTGTTCCCACTTTAGGTGGGTCACCATTCATGCAGTTCTGAAGTTTCTGGGGAGATTTTCAGTGCCCTTGGTGCATGTTGTTTAGCCAATGTTTTGTTCTCCTAAGTCCTACATTTATCTGTGCGCTAAAGCTTCTTGTGTTTACTATATGTCTTACTTCTTTTGGTGCTCTTTAGTTGCTTAAATTTTTTTAGAGGTAAATGATTTATTAATAACAAGAGAGTTAGCTACATACCATTCTAAATAGTTCTAGAGTACGCTTCAAGAAGACGAGCTAAGCCACATAAAATTGATCCTCCAAAAGACAAGAGGAAAAATTTCTGCATTCAATACATAGAGGCAGCCACCATAATCAATACACAAAGGAAAAGCTCCAGATGCAGCAATGCTTCTGTTCCAGGAACACATGGCAGCCAAAAGGAGAAAGCTTATACATGAAAGCTCAATAACAATCATCAATGTCAAAACCAATTACATTACATGTTGCTGCCTAAGAAGAAGAAAAGCTTGAATTTGTGGGCGACAAGCAGCAGCAGATCAGATTATGGCCGCATCTTGTGCCGCTCCACTATGACTCATCCAGCTTTGCGATGTTCATCCCTATATGAGGTATAACAAAGACTTGAAACATTGTACCTGTCATCTTTTATCAAGAAAACATTCTTTCTTCGCCTGGCCTCAAATAGAGACTCTGTCAGCCTGGTATAAACAGGATTCAGCATTTGATGACAAACTGGCCGCTTGCTAAGCATGCCTTTAAAAATTGAAAACTTAATGTGATGAGATGCACTCGAATTGTGGTATCTTGGCTTACTAATAGCGTCAATAAACCCTTCAAATTTTGTCATCTTCAAATTTTGTTGAACAACCCCCCCACCAATGGTCCCCAAAAAAAAAACAAGTAAAACAACCAAAGATCAATCGCCCCTTGGGTTGAGTAATTAATTTGTGATTAGCTGTTTATTTTGTTTTACCTTTCGAGAAAGAAAAGCTGTCATGGATGTCATTGAAGAAAGTTACAAAGTTTCTATATTTGACTCTGTTTCTGCATCTCTTTTGGGGGCTGTATTCTCTGATAGTTAAGGTCCCCAAAAGACTACAACTTTGAAGCCATGGCGAGCACCAAAGTACGAATGATCATGACCCAACCCATTGAATGGCTTTAATTGTTCATCTTTTAAGTTCTTTTATAATTGTTACTTTTCTTTTTTTGAAATATAACTAATTGTGACTTCTTTTAAGTCAACTGCTCTGCGCATTCGCTAATTTTTTTCTGTTGTTCTTACATCTGGATTTCTGTGGCAAAAGAACCTGATTTTCAGGTATCTTCAACGTGTAAGCTCTCAGTTCCTTCAAATTTATTTCTTTTATGTTTTTGGCTTGTCCATCTCTGGGTCCTTTTGTTGTGCTTGGCTTTTGTTAAAATTATCTGGGAATTGATGAGTGTTTTAGCTTCCTGTTGGTTCGTTGCTTTTGTTGAAATTTATGCGGACAGCTTGCATACAGATTTGGCTATTTGAGCAGAAAAATTTTGAGGATTGAAGGACGAATCATTGTTAGTTTCTTATTGCTCCCATCATTCTTTTAATTTATATGCACTAAACATGAAACATCTTTGGAGATTTATGGGTTATAGTTTGACAGGCTCGATTTTGTATTGTATTTACTAGTCTGTAACACGTTGACTGCGACTTTCTGACTTTATTGTGTCTTTGTTACCGCATGCCTTTATTTACTGCACGATGTGTTTTTCCTTATTTTTTGAAGTCTACTTGGCCCGCCAAATTTTTTTTAGAAAACCTCTAGCTGTAGTCATTAAAAGGATGGCCTAAGATGCTTAGCCAAATGTGTATGATTTAGATTAATAACAGTTGGATGCAGTTTTCTTATGTAGATTGCACTAAATAGGCTAATTGGCTTTAGTATGGTCATGAGTTGAGAAAAAATGGCGTTAGCCATATGCATGATACCTAGCTAAAATTAAACGGTGGTTGTGGCAACGGCACCAACAGGGTTTCTTATCATACAGGTGATTTCTGATCATTGTTTTATAGATAAGATTAAGGTCTGACTTTGTGACTTTGCCAACGAATTTTTAGGATGCATCGTCTGCCATTATTTACTTGTAAAGCACGTCAATATTCTAGAATTTTTTTTAAGTTAACACTTGCTCAAAAGAAAGAATTCATATTTGCTCTTCTAAGCTAGATAAAGAACCACTATGGGTAATATTACAATCAAATTGGTGACTGTGTCCCAAGCCTGCATGCTGCTAGCTCCTTTCAGTTCCTGACTAGATGGATGAAAATTGTATGTGAAAATGGACAACGGCATAATTAAAATGGGTAAGAATGCCAATTAAAACAGCTCCTGAGGGAGATAGGTCCTAACGGGAGTTGAAAACATTCCAACTTAAATGAGAATATTCCAAATTTCAATATGGTCAAAATTGCGTAACTCGAGTTATCTTGTCTGTTACCTGATTTAATTCAAGTATGAATCCTTTTATGGTTATAATTGGGATGTGCAGGGTTTCCATGAGTACATGAATCTAGTTCTGGATGATGCTGAAAAAGTGAACTTAAAGAAAGAAGACCAGAAAATCACTTGTTAAGAAGTACTTTCTACTCTGTTAGTCTCTCCGTGTTCCTTCGCCAAAAAACAAGCTGCTATCTTCTCTCTTTATAACTAGATGTTCTCTGACTTATCTTTTTCCCTCTCCCAGGAAGAGTTCTTCTTAAAGGAGACACCAAAACCCTAATAATGAACACGTAAGTGCCACTGAAGCAATCATTTCTATCTGCACGGATCTGTCTCTTCTCTCCCTCTTCCTGCTTATCACATTAAAATAGTTTTATTTTTCAAATATTACAGGTGAAAGTGATTCTCATACCCATACGGGCATTTATCTGGATTAGCTTTACTTCCTATTTCAAGTGATTGTGTAGATTTCTATTAAGTTGTTTCTCAGTTACAGTAGGAGAAGAGATTTTAACTTGTATTTTAAATGCTTCGTGGTTGAGTATCTCGATCAACCATCAAAAGTTTTGTAGGTTTGGTGCTATATATCCTCTACTGGATGAAAATGAATAACTTGGTCAATTTTCTTTTCCCCATCGAAATACAATTTATGGATTTCTCAAAATGATTTCAGATCACAGCATATGGGTCTTTTCATTCAATCTAAAAATAAGGATCCTTCAATTTTTTTTTAATGAGCAAAAGAAGAAAGTGACAGATATCCACTAACATGTTCAGTGGGTGAGCTTTCTTGTGAATGGTGGAAGGCTGAAGGCAGCAGGCCAGGGTGTAGCAAGAAACTGACAAAGAGGAAAAGGGTCGGGTCATGGGGTTTGACGTGGTGGGACCCGAAGTTGCTGGTCCTGCAACACACGTGTCTTAATCTGGTAACCTCTACTCAGTTTGTCTAACCTCGGGGTGGCAAACCCAACTGGTTCGGACCCATTTTTGTACTCTTTCGGGTCTCCACACCATTGTTGGGTACTGACTCATGCTCCACACACATGTATCTTTCTGACTTGACCCGGGATTTACTTGCCTGAATGCCGTCATTTTTGCCGTGGAAGTAGATTGATCCTATCATGGATCTCACCCTTTTTCTTCCTTGAACAGGGTCAAGCCAAGTTTGTAATGGGTGGGATATTAATTTGTTGTCTGTGCCCATATCCTGGTATATGGTAATCTTGTTTTTCCATGCATTAAAAAGCTTATTGGAGTGAAATCATGGCAACTCAATGGAATAAGTGGGCTCTCTTAATTGAGCACAAAGTCATTACATGAATGGAAAAAATGAAGTTTGGCCAAGTCAAATGATCAGATGGATAGATACAGACTTAGTTAGATTACTGGTTGGTTGTGGTGGGATTACGTCATCTTCCTCTTTTCTTCTCAACCAAACCCTAATTGCACCAGTTGGGATTTTTACTAAATACTTGAGTGACTTCCAAATAAAATGTGGTTTACACCATACAAACTTTTTTTTTTAAAAAAACATTTTATTTAATCTAATTGTATTTAATTTTACTTTAAATTTTAGTTAGTTAATCTATAAAAATCAATTGCAATTTATATATTTTATGTATAATTAAATGAATATATAAATTATGCATTTTCATTTGTTGAAAAAAATGAATTAGAAGAACAATAAACATGAACTGGGCTTGAAACTAGAATTTTATGTTTAACTAAAATTTTATTTTATTTATTTTATATAAACATCCTTATCTCATAAAATTAGATCAAATTAATGGTGTATATGTGTGTGTATATATATATATATTCTCAAAAGGGAGTGTAAGAAATGGCAATCATGAATAAATAACTTTTTTACGTTTCTTATTCTTTCTTATCCCTCCATTAGCTGTAAAAATGAAGGTGATCCATCCTACCGTATGCTATGTCTATTCAATGTCGGAAACGAATTTAAGCACTTCAACCATGGCCAAAACAGAGAAGAGAAAAATCGTTATGGTAAAATTGGATTTTACAGGAGAATATTCAGAAAAAAAGAAAAAGCAAAGAATCCCACTTTCCACATCAAAAGTTGGATATAAACCCTCGATTTTGCAGAACCAAAAGCAAGAGCTTAGACAAGGAAATGTGACTAATGAAAACAAAAGGTTAAACCTCCATATTCAGCAAGGAAGAACAATAAAACATAACAATGGCATTACCACGTGAAGCAGAGAACATTCCTATCAGGTCCAATGTTGACACACCATTATGTACACATCAATGCTTTTAACGATTCTCGTGGTCGATTCATTTTTCTCCATAAACCCTACTTTTATTATTTGTACTATCATCAATTGCGCACATGTTTATTCCTAAGTAATTATTGTATTACATATTCGATTCTAAAAATTTTCATACGGTAATGGAAATGAAAGATTTTATTCTAAAGTGAAACTGCTATAACCAATATAAAAAAATTTACTACTCGGAGAAATCTCTATATGTCTACTGTGTATATTGGGTACGTAGACTTTAATTGGTTCCATTTTTGTAAAACAAAGGTTGATAGAATTTACAGCATTTTCCAATATAAGACTTGAAAGCAATAGTAGAAGACAAAAGAATTTAGTGTCTTTGTCTGGTTTTGTGGGAAGAAGTTAAACTTTGATAAATTGGCGACAGAATATTGGGGACAACAATGCGTTTGGTTTTGGTGGTTTGATTAGGCAAAAATATTGGAGTCTCACATCACCATTTTCATTAGAGTGAAGAAATTGGTGAGCCACTTGATTGATTTGATACGAGTGAAATCTTGATTGATATAATTTTAGATGATTTTATTTGATGCATAAGTAATGATTTAAGGATTGACCAATTCCCAACAAAAAATCAGCCATGTTATCCCCCCTGATTCCCTACTATGGTCCCATGATTTCAGGCTTCAATTTCACACACCTTCAACCTGTACGTATTCACAATTTGCCAATTTTTAATTAATTCAACTCTGTTATTTCAAAATTTTAGATTGATTTAAGAAAATTAACCAACGATCTTAGGAATTTTACTAAATTTAATGTTAAAATTAATCTCTCCCGTACGTGGAACATCCTCTTATGTCTTGTTTAACGTTCTTAGTCGATATGTAGTATCTTTTCTACTACAATTATTATATTCAAATCTTGAATATTTATAAAAATAACATCTTAACTGATAAAACTTATAATATATATATATTTATGTCTATGTATTTGTTCATTTTTTACTGAATTTGATTTGTACTTCAATCCTAATATTTGTTATAATATTCGATCTTATCTAACAAGTTAATTAATTCTTTTCGTTCTTATATAAAAAGGTAAGTGTAAACTATACATAAACCCATCAAATTTTTGTTTAAAACATACTTGTTAATAAAATTGAGGTTACCAGTATTAGATTTATGTTCTAACATTATCTTAAAATAATTATTTTAAAAATTTTAGTTCAATCAATTATTTTCTTTCTAACGGCTATTTATACATTTTGAAAAAATACCCGTTATTTTTTTTAATTATTATTATTATTTATCCATGTTTAACCTTATTTAATCTTTTATAATTTTAAGAAGAAAAAAAAAAAACTTGGATAGATGGATCAAACAATTAATTGAGAGGTGAGATAGTCATTAAAAACAGAAGTTTTAGGTTCAAATTTTACAGTCAATCAAAATCAACTTTGCTATTCTCAGAAAAGAAAGCTTAATTATGATGATCTTGTAGAGCGTGGGAGTTGAACAGCATCAACTATTTATTTCATCTTCCTTTTTAACTTTTTCTTTTCTTTGATTCAATTACGAGTGCGAAATATGATGTCTACTCCTCGCACACTTACAATTTAAACGTGGACCAACTAATTAAGCTACGACTAAAATTTTGCTACTTCCACGACTGCTTTTCATTCCTTCACGACACAGTAGCTCATAATAATTGCTTGCTTTTAAAAAAGTAAGTTATAATGATTCATGTGCCACATATACATATATACATACACACACACATCATATTAACATATATGATGTTAACATATATCCAAGACTTGACCAGTAAAGCTATACACTGTATATGTACTGAATAAATGACTAAAACTGGTACGTAATGTCGACTACATCTTACATATGTTTATTTTAATGTCTTACATCTTTATGTACGTACAAATATATACACCCATAAACATATTTTTAGCTTTGGGTTAGTAACCTAATTAACTAACTAATCACATTATCTTAATTCTTTAAACATTTAATATTCACCGTAAAGTGATTCTTGCACTGTCCTTGATTTTTAAAAAGGGTACCTAATTCCTCTCTTATCTTATCCTATACTTATTTATAAATAAATACGCATATACACACTTATGTATGTACATACGTATATATTATACAACATGTAATTATTAGAGGTGGCAACACACGGTCCCAATTTTTTTCCAATCATTCAGTAGTACTGCTTAATTTTATTGTACTATTTCCTTCCAGCATCATTTTTCTCATGTTTAATGATTAGCCTCCTTTCAATATTTTAATCAATTTCGTACTTGTTTCTTCTTTACCAATATTCTGGATATTATTCTATATATATATATATTAATATTGTACATGTATGCGTGGCGTATCTGGATGCATACATTTACATATATATATATATGTGTGTATATGTATCGTGCATAAACATTCTCCATATATAATATCAAATAATGCTTAAAAAATAGTACTCCAGGTGTAGCATGTGTTGCGTTTATATTATATGTATATATATATATATCTTTAAAAGTAACTTTAAGCGTGCAATATTATTATTTTGTTATCGTGTTATATACTGAAATAAAATGAGTATAATATATGTACATACATACATGTGTATCCGAGCATGTATATATATATATATGTGTATGTATGTATGTATGTGATCAATATTTCTATCCACATAGGGAACATGTGCTCATCACGCTGTTACTTTTTCTTTACATATTGTGGATATGTGACTATAGATTCCAACATTATTCCCATCCAATTTTTATAATTAATTTAATTAATTGTAATGGCGTCCGCATAATTACATATATATATATATATACATATAAAGGCTATATTAGATACTTTAATTAGGTAAAAGAGAGATAATTAACAACTTGTCCAATCTATTGAACTTCTTACTAATGATTCCAATTTCCAAATCCAGTTGGCCTTATCCATCACGTAATTATGTGTCTACTACTTTACTGTATACCATTAATGTTCTTAATAAATAAAATTAAGCACTATAAATTGAGATTAAGGTTCTGTGCTTTAATTAATTAAAATAATTAAGACTGTAATTAAAAAAAAAATTAGGGTTAGCTAATTGAAGTAGAT